AATGTTTTTCCATATTAAATGCTGATGAAATAAGTATTTACTTAATCATTTTTCAAAGAAACGTTTATTATTGTTATATAAAAAAGGATTTTTAATCAAGAATAATTCATAGTTGCTTCAGCATGTTTTATTCTTCTAAACTTATTCCAGATATCCAATTCTTCTTAAGTGGTTTTCTTGGTTGGAAGACGAGTATCATAAAGCATTTTGCACAGTACATGTTGCGCTAATACTCGTAAAAAAGTCTTTTTTTAAAATTCAAATCTTCAAAAATGGAAAAAAATCATCCAAATTAGTATAATTTCCTCATGACTTCTATGGAGTAAGTGAGGAAAAACAATGTCATTGCTTTTTTACCGGAAACTTTTTTATTTTTTATTTATTGATGATATTTACAACTGTATTACAAGTAAAAATACATTCAGTAAATGTGAAAAAAAGAATATAATAGCATGAAATCATTTGTTGAAAAACTACCCACTGGTAGCACTCTAAAAATGTATTTACAAAAGGAGATCTCGAGGCCATCTTCTTTTCAGACGCCTCGGAGGGTTGTCAGGGATCGAAAAGGAAGCAAGGTTAGAAACGAGAGGGTTAGGATGGTTGTGAAGTTTGTTATGGAAGGAAAGGTATCTGGATTAGGCCAGGTTAGAAACATAAGGAACATTAAGGTCGTTATGGATGATTTTGTTTGTGACGAAGTAAGGAGCTGTGAGGATTTTACGAAGGATTTTGGATTGTAAGGATTGGATACGAGAGGAATTCGATGGCTTAGTGGAGCCCCAGAGCTCAATTCCGTAAGTCCAAATAGGTCTTATTGTAGTCATGTATATGAGTCTTTTGTAATTGACTGAGAGCTTACAGCGTTTGTCTAGTAAGTGCTGGAGTAGTCGGAAACGTCGAGCTGTTTCTTGTCGTTTCAGTCTGGTATGAGGATTCCAAGTTAGACGTTTGTCTAAGTGGAGTCCAAGGTATCGAATTTGTTCAACAGGGATAAGTGGGGTATTATTAAAGGATACTGTAGGACAAGAGGACATTTGTTTACGACGAAGGGTAAAGGTTATTTTGATCCTCCAGTTTTGAAACCATTCTTCAAGGTTTGTGATGTGTGATTGAAGGGTTTGGGATGTAATTGTTGGGTCGTTATTAATTGATAGGACACATGTATCATCGGCATACGTGGTAATGACAGTGTTAGGATGGGTAGGGATATCAGCGGTATAAACTGTGTAAAGGATAGGACCTAGAATACTACCTTGAGGAACACCAGCGGACTTGGAAAAAAGGGATGAATAGGCATTATTATGATTTACTTTGAAGGATCTATCAGTTAGATAGGAACGGATAATGAGGAAGTATGTAGGGTGTAGGAATTTACGGAGTTTGTAAAGCAGTCCTGGGTGCCAGACTCGATCAAAAGCCTGTTCTACATCGAGAAAGACTCCCGTGCAGTACATTCCGCGCTCCAATGCAGAGGAGACAACATCCACCACACGATGGCATTGCTGGATAGTGGAATGGAATCTGCGGAATCCAAATTGATGATCTGGGATAATGTGATTAGAATCTAGGATGAGGTGCAGGCGTTTTAGGATGAGCTTTTCCAGGATTTTGCCTAGGATGGGTAAAAGGGAGATAGGGCGATAGGAGGATGGGTTTTCTGGTGGCTTTTTGGGTTTATGTATCATTTTGATAATAGATAATTTCCAAGGGTCAGGAAAGTATGTGGATCGCAGAACAGCATTATATATATACGTAAGGAATAGGATGGCTTTCCGAGGAAGCAGTTTTAGGATCTGGGATGTAATTAGGTCGTGTCCAGAAGCTTTTCGGGAAGGTAACCTTTGAATGATGTCGGATATTTCTGAAGGTGATTTCAATACATTCAAGGTGATTTGGGTTAAGAATATCAAGGTGTGGATTAAAGGTTTTAAAGAGGTAATGAGCAACGATTTGTGATTTTTCTTCATCGGATTTGGACCAGGTTTGAGCTTCAGTAAGAAGTGGATGATTACAGTCTTTAAATTTCAGGAGCCTTTTAGTGGTCGTCCATAGTGATTTGTCGGTAGGTGTAAGTTTTTCAGTAAAATTTAGTAAATTTTGAATTTTTTATTTTTTAATTTCAGATTTTAGTTTGTTAGTCAGTTGGGTATAGTGAGTTTTATCTGTTGGATATCTGGTTCTATGCCACTTCGATCTTGCTCTGCGTTTTTCCTTCAATAAGATACGAATATGCAGTGGCAAGTCAGTCTTTTGTGAATTGTTGAACTTATTGATAAAAGTGTTATTACTGTCTGTTATTGATGCTGTCAGTTTTTCAATGGCACCATTAATGTCCTCTTTTGTCTTTAGCGGAATTTTTAAGTCTAGTTTGTACCGGAAACTTAAATTGAAAACAGAAAACTTATTCCCCTCTTTAGCATATTTAGCAATATTCTCGTCTATCATAAATTATCTGAATACATCGTAAATATAAATGATACATTATTTTTATCTACTACTTAAAAACACGTCTGCCAAGGAAGGTCGGTATAGCTTCCTCACCATTTGCATTTTTTTTTTGTGCAACAGTTTTTTTTTTAACCTCTCGCACGAACACAATGCTTCCCTACCTTAGTGAGAAAACAAAAAAAAAATGTTGATATTCATATGCACACACTTCAGTTATACCATTATTGAAACTAAAGATGATAAAGGAAATCGAATGTAATGGTCCAGGCCTCCCTATACCGCACTCTGCCAAGCAATTTTATATTTATATTAAAACTTTTAATAGTTCATTGTAAAAATATTTAATATACGAAATTTGTATGCTTAATTGTCATAATATGTGAATGCGATTATGCACCCCAGACTTTTATCTGATATTCATTGACTAGCGATCATACGGTGGGGTGGGAGGGAATAACATTTTTTTTCGTTGTTCCATATTTCTTGATGCGAGTGATCTAAGCTATTTACTTAAACAATCGCAATACACTCTCTTTTTGAATTATAATATATAAACAGCTACTAAAGTTATGCACGTGTCAAGAAAAATATAAGAAATTTATCTGCAAAAGCATTTTTTTTCCTTTTAAGAACCATTAAATCATTTAATTTTCTCTTTTTCTTCAATTAAATCCTGGTTCCACCAGTGTATCCATAAAAGCAAAATGTTATTAATATAATCGGGGAAAATAGTGAACTTATGTATTACTAGCCTATTCTTACTAGAGTGGGAAGGTCGAGATTCCACCCTAGGTCCGTCTTGAAATACATTTCCATTATATGCCTTATTTTGCTTTGGCCGTAAGACTAGGAAGAGGCTTAGAACTAGGACGTTCTTCCTCACCCTCTGTGCTCCTCAGACCTTGCCTCATCCGATTATTACTTGTTTCTTTCGTTAAAAAATTCTCTCAGAGATAAATGTCACAAATCTGAAAACGAACCACGATGAATATTTTGCAAGTAAGTCTTAACAATTTTGGAAAGAAGAAATAAGAGGCTTCCTTAGAGATGGAAGAAGGTAATAGAGTAGAAAGGTTCATGTATAACACAGTAATTCAACCTTGAACAACAAATTAAAAAAAAGAAAGAAACTTACAGGAAACTCTAATGTTATAATTTAGGGAAACATTTAAGAATAAATTGACATAAGAAGAACATTCAGTGTATAGCTTTGACCTTCAGAGTTGTGAAATGAAAATATGGTTGGGTAAGGGAAAAAGAAGAAGCACTTTTCAAGACTTTTATTTTGTGACAGAATAAAAAAATAAATCTTATGTTTCTCCACCTAGCAATAATAACTTGGTAGTAACCTTTTTGATAATTCATTTATCACGATGTTCATACATAAAAAAAAACAAACAATGAGCTAATGATGACTATAAGAAGAGAATGTAGTAGATAACAGCTAAATGTCTTCAGCGAGTAATAACAGTTTTAGACGTGCTGCGGGTCATAAATATGTATTATCAATAATTTACATACTTTTCGGGCGGGAAAGAAACTCAAGGTGGGACTTTCGTATTCATAATCCCAACAATGCGTTACAAGTTCCCACATAAAAACATACTACAAAAGAAACAATAATTTGTCATTTAAAATTAAGATTAGAAAAAAGAAAAAATAACATAAAATTATAATCATGGTAACAATATTACCCAAAAAAGTGATTTCATATATGGGTCATTCCCATTAGAAACGACCTTCAGGAACAGTAATCCATAGAGCCAGAATACGAATGGGCTTAATTAATATATCATACGAGCTTAAACAGAAATATGATCACATTGAATAATCGTAGTTGCAGATATTGAGGAGGGAGGTGATCCTCCCTCTCCCTTTAATAAAAGGGGTATCCCTCCCCAGTAATAAGGGAGGAGAATATCCCTTAGCGCATCAATGATTCGAAGTATAAAAATTTAAAAAAAATAAAATCAATAATAAATGATCTATATTAATGAATAAATCCTGTAAACCAAAAGCAAAGAGAGAACACTTTATTGTCATAAAAGGGTGCTGCCCAATTACATTGGGTTGCTTTAAATACAGCATACTTATTAATCGCTACAGACAATTTTCCAAAACTACAATTATATAGTATTAACAATATGTATGAGCATAGTATACAATTTTTTTTAATATATATTTCTTATTATAATTTTTTTTCCTATATATATATATATATATATATATATATATATATATATTTCTTTTTTTCTTACTATTTCTTTCCTTCATTTATTAGCATTATATATCCCTTTCTCTGCCTTCTCTCCCCTTTTACATTTTTCTCATTTCCTTGATTCTCTCCTCTCTCTTCCTAACCTAATTCATAAAATGCATACAAATACATAAAGTACATTTGACCTGGTCAATAAATAATGTAAAAATGCTGTAAAAAACGCATGCCTCCCCCCATGACAAACTCTCTCTCTCTCTATCCATGCACATGATGATGGATAATTCCCAGGGAGTCGAGCATTATATTCTCCGCCAACCTTGCCACGCCCTTTATGTCGCAACTAAGGCCCTCCGTGAAGCTCTTTGTTAAGTTTGGTATCGTTCCGCGAGCTCCGAACCAAATGCCTCTCACGTGGAACTCTCTCTCTTTCCACTTTGCTTGCCTGATCGAGGTCATTGGTCTCATACCTCAAGGTAGGATCCAAAATCATCGTCGACTTTCCCGTCTTAGGGAATGCTATAATGTCGGCATATCGGGTGGATCCATCCGTATCCATACAATATACTTCCTCGAAACAGGCCTTAATCTCTCTCTTTAAGGAGCCTCATCAGTTCATGTTTGACTCTGTGGTGACGGCGTGTTATAAGGAGGGAGTTGTTGGGGCATTTTCCAAGCACATATGCTGGTGTTTCTGGCTCTCTGTCACATTTGCGAAAAAACAGGAAAAGTAGATGAATAAATATTTTATGAAACCCTAAATGGCAAGAGTTCATCTCCCTGACTCAAACTAAGGAATCATAAGTTGCTTTGGAAGTGACACATAAAGCATGCACATCCCGAGCATCTTCCAATTGTTTTTCAAGAACCTTTAATGCACCATTGTCTTTTCTGTCTGAATCCTAATTGGTGGTCGCCTAATATATTTCCGCAGTACGGATAGGGGCACCAGAAGTTCTTAACTTCTGCAATTACCACAAATTTACAACCTTTATTAAGAATAGGACACATCAGGCCCTTGTTTGAAGCTTTTAGTGTTCCTTCCTGCTTCCATATTTTCTGGATGAGTTGTCATAGCTTGGATTTTAGATGTTACCTATAAATAGCTCTGATTGTAAGCTATTCCAGCTAGTATTAGGCCCTTGTTTTATTCCAGCAACTATTTCCATATGAATGAATGCTCCCAAATCAAATGGTAAATTTCGTTTGGTGGTAGGAGTAAGGTGAAGTTTGCTTTTCTTTTTGTTGTAACCTACCATATAAAAACAATGTAATGATAATTCCCTCCAACTCCAGTATTTTTTAACAGATATAAATAAAAATAGCCTACTTATCTACTAAATAAAAGGTCATCTCATCCTTACATAGGCATATTTAGTCTTTTTTTTCATACATGATATATTAAAGAAAAACAGAAAGTAGTATTATAGAATAAGAAATTGATATTAAAGTCATAACAGTTAATTTCTATTAACCAATTAAAATTCAAGTGTGTTAATATTTTAATGAGTAATTATTTTTATTTATTTTTAAAGTCAATTAATCTATTCTAATCTGTTAAATGATATTTTAGTTTAATAAAAAATAAAGTTTTTACTAAAAGATTTTAGTGAGAAATAATGTAACCATTAAACGATGTATCAGTTTAGTAACTAATGATGTTTTTATAGAATGATATATCGTCTTAATAAAATAAAATGCAAGTGATTTTTCATAATTATATTGCTATGTATTCTAAAGACCACCTGTGGAGTTTACTTAATAATTTTAAATGTATAAATTAATAAATATCTTAAGTGCTCACATCTGGCGGTTGGGTACCTGAGCGAGGGTAACGACCCACGAGAACAACCTTTTGTAAGTGGTAATAAAAACCCTTAAGAACCACCGACCAAGACCGACAACTGAGTTTAAACAGGATCCCGAAAGATCTTTCACACCTTCCACCAGAAATACGTAAATCTGTACCTGCTGCTTTACCTTGGCCTGGGGGAGAGGGCGTGGTCATCCCTTAGGCTAGGAATATTCAGCCAATCAGAAAAGACTACCAAAAGAGAGGGAGATGAAGAAAGGTGGGAAATAGAGATTTGGGACTGAACACTGAGAGCTGGGACACAGGCTGGGACTTGATTGGGAAGGACTTGGGAGGAGAAGCGGAGAGAGGAAGATATAGACTGATAGCTGGGACTCAGGCAAGAAGACAGCCGGAGGGAGCAAGATGAAGACTTGAAGACCAGATCGACGGAGCTTCCAGAGAGGTAGCCAGAACAGCTAGAGATAACGACAACACCCCACATCAGCTAGGTAATAACCCTCATTTAGTTATACAGATGTAAATTTGTGTTGGCAACCATAAATCATTAATTAATAAAATCAATAGAACACATATAACTCTAATCAAGCATTCTCCTCTTGTATGATTCTCAACTATTATTATGTATATAGGTTTGTTCATTATCATTCTATATATGTTTTGGTTATTTAAATTTGTAAATATAATAGTTAGTAAACCATCTTGATGATTTTACATTCTACCTTGCATGCCACCAATTAGATATAGAACAAATAGTAAATTTAAAAACATGATACCTTTAGAAAGGAAATCCAATAAAAATTATATGGTTCAATCTAGGATACTACAGTAGGGGGTCTGTGGTATCTAACCTTTTAATACAGAATTAATATATTTTTAGGTAGATCGGTTTCCTTCTGGGACCGATAGAAATACCAATATAAATATTTAATACAAATAAATGAGGTTCCTGGAATCCCCTACTCGCCGTAGAAATGCGAGGCCAGGAACATAGCAATGTATATTTCAATAATAGTTATACATTTATATTAAAACAATATTTTAATACAACTAAAGGTTTATAGGATAGGGACCATGTTTCCTGGGATTTATAGGGCCTTAAATAAGTAATATAAAACAGTAATATTGCCAATTACATTAAATTAATCTAAATATGTAAGAAATTAAAAAACAAAACAAATACATTTATGGAAAATCCAAGGTCCTAATGATTATATTTTATTTGATCACAATAAAGCAGATCTTAGTCGAATAGCAATAATTCACAAATTATACAATAGTAATACAAAATAGTGACTACAATAGTGAATTTAATTAATAAATATGCTTAATAATTATACCTCAAAATATAATTTGATCAAATTTAAGTTGTGATCTTGGTGATATTTATGACAACAATATATTGCGAGCTATAGAATTCTGTAATCTAAATATGTATCATAGGTGCCAGTACTGTGGAGAGGGGGAGAAAGGATGAGAGGCAAGACACTTACTCCCTTCCCCCAATTTTTATGAAGATCAGCTCTTCCAAACTTTCACAGTAATTTACTTAGAAATGACTCACAAAAAGTTAAATAAACTAATGATTAAACTATTCCTTTAATACTACTCTTCTTTCCCATCCATTAAATACTGATATCACGATAAAAATAATTAGTATAAGCTAACCTTCACTCCCCTCTCTCCCAATATTTCCAATGATATGTACAACTTATACAATGGCATTCATACATATTAATTATGCAACTTCTAGCTCCTAACTCCCTACTTCCCTAACCAACATGTCAGGATGGGAAGAGCCGTTTACACGTCCTGATCCCTACCTCCCTATCACAAATCTCAGGTTGGATTGAGATATCTAAACGACCATGTACTTTAACAAGTTGAGTGTCATGATTTCACAGTATTGGTGATCATATCAGCTACTTCCTTTGCAACTTGGCCTTTTACAATGTCCCGGTGAGTAGATGAAAAGGAATGAATCCCAGGGGTCTGTTTGCAGATCTGAAAGAATAAAGGTATTATTAATCTCATTGATTCTAATTTCTAAATTCCATAAAACTTCTGATGATATTATTATTTCCTTAACTTGTAATAATGTACTTATTATTAAAATTCAAAGAAATTTAACAATTTAAAATAAATGATTTATCTGAAAATTACTATATGGGAGCATCAAACAACTATGAAAAGTAACAGGAAAAAGTTGGATCATTAATATTTGTTAAATCGAGCTGTCAATGTTTGTACTAAAATGCAGTACATGAAATGGCAAGTTTGTATTATCTTCGTATGTAACAAAATTTTTAAAAATAAGGATAGTTTAAGCAATTTGAACGTTCAGGTCTTAATTTGACTCTTTTTTAGTGTCTTTTGATCAAATGATGTAACTATTTCCTGAAAAACTACAAATTGGAAGCATATAAGTGATGGCAATAAACATTGTAAAAATCCGTTTGATTCTTTAATATCATCTTGAGAATTAATCACACAGAATGGAGATGATAGAATAATTATTTCAATTCACGTTAATTATTTATTAAAGTAAAAATTGTAAAAATCCTTCATGCTTATATCTCAAACTACCTTTTTGAGTCCATAGTCACTATCAATATCAAAAAAGCATTCTTCAGCCTTAAAGAGAACCACCTTTCCTTTAAAAATAGCAGATGGTTTGTAGATATCACCGGCAACTAATTTTCTATAGAATGCTACAATAGCAGTCTTCAAATCTTCTCCTGATTCACTGTTACCTTTAAGTTTTTCAGCACACAGCTCCAATCTAGAATTGAAGTCTGGCAAGGCTTTGAACCCTTGTTGGAGCTGAAATTACATATGACTATGAATAAATAGTAAAGTTATATTCCATAATTTATTTTGGATATTTAATTTTCATTAAATTGGTGGCAAATCATTTTGGTAATTTTTTTAAATAGCCAGTTTAAAATAAAATTACATTACTAGAAACATAGTGAAATTGCCTAAGATACCCACCTATTTTAAACCTATCCTATTTATAAAAACCTAATAACTCACTTTTATATATTCTTGGCGATCAACAGTTTTGAACAAGGTGATATAATAAGCAAAGACATCACACTCATTAGCATCAGTCTTCTCAGACCTGTTTGTTGAAGTACGCAATCTTACGAAATCAGGGGCACCATCAATTAGAAAGAGGTTCACATTTTTGCCCTGAGATTCGAGTTGCAAGCCCATTTCAAAAGCAACCAATGCACCAAAGGAATATCCACCAAGCAAAATTGGATCTTGAACCTCAATACTCTTCATAGTCTGCATAAAATAATCAATAAAATATTTTAATAAATCACTGATGATAAAACATGAAATTTTAAAATTATGTATAAAATCATTTTTATTAATGTCAAAACATTAGCAGAAATCATAGCAGTACACACTTTCAAGTAGAAAGCTGCAAGTGACTGAATACTATCATCAGGGACATCTGTTGTGCACTGGAACCCATAAACATTGAATGGCATGTAGGAAGTAAATTCTTCAAGAAGATTAATCACTCCTTCAATTGAGTGGACAATGAAGAAATGATTTGACTCATTGAGTGGAGTGGCAGATGGCATTTGAACCAATGTCTGCGTTGGTGTCAGCTTTGTTTTTACCAATGTTTTACCTTTACTATTTTCCTAAAACAATAAATATAACACATAAATTTTGATTTATAATACAAATAATTATTATATTGTTATAAAAAATAACCTTCAACCCAACCTGCACTGGTTTAGTAGTTGTTTGTATACTAGAAAGTTCTTTAAGTTTTCCAAAAGTGAGTAATCTAATTTCACTAATAGTAAGAACAAGGTCATAATTCCTATCAAGCGTCTGCTTAATTTCAGAAACCATTAGAGAGTCCAAACCCAGTTCTCCCAAAGTTTTTGAAGCATTTATATTACTTGTATCTTTAATCCCTATAAAAAAAGAAGTATGAAAAAGATATAATAATATATACTATCCACATTATAAAATTGGCTTGTTTCAAATATTGTACAATTGACATCCTAACTGTTCTAATATTACACTTCAGCACAGAATGAAAGTGAAACATTTAAAATATAATATATGAATAAGTTCCATTGTTAAACATTTTAAACTACAAAAATATGACGACTTAATTTTGAGAAAACTCTGGTGTTCTAACCTAGAATGTTGGCGATTGTTTCAACAAGACTGACAGAAACCGCTTCTGTTGCCTTTTTCTTTTCAGCGAGGACCAATGAGGATAGGACAGGATTTGGCTGTTGAAGGAAGAAGTCCAAAGTAGACAGGACAGAAGTTATCCTTTGAGGTAAGGTTCCTCCTACAACAGTCTCATTGTCACCTCCAAGAGCTTCAACAACCAGACCAACATCACCGATTGCACCCCACTGAATGGCCAGCTGTAGGATAGATAAAAAAAAAAATAATTAGCCTTGGTTACGTTTTAAGAACACATTACTCTATGTTCAATGTTACCGCAGGAAGACCATTCCTTTGCCTCTCTTCACAAATCCTTTCCATGGCAGAGTTGGCCAGACCGTAGTTGCTTTGTCCAATATTTCCTCTTCCACAAGAAACAGATGAAAATGCAACAAAGTAGTCAAGCTGATTGCATGACCTACTGGCAATGTCGAGGTTTATTGTTGAATCAATCTTTGGCTTACAAACTGCAGCAAAATCTGCTTCTGTCTGTTTTTCGAACAAGCCATCACGTAATACCTAAAGTAAAACATATAGAATAGATGAATGATTACTTTTTATTTTTTCTTAATTTTAATTTTCAATAATGATAAAAATATAAACTCACAGCTGCGAGATTGAATATTCCACCAACAGGGCCAATTCTGTTTGCCTCTTCTATCAAACTTTTAGCTCCCTTCATGTCAGTGACGTTAGTTGTAGAGATGACAACAGTCGCACCTGAAAGCTCCCAGCGATGGATGCAAATGTTCTGGTATCCATTGGTTACTCCAGATCTAGAAACTAGAACCACTTTCTTGGCGCCTCTTGAAATCATCCATTGTGTCAATTCTAATCCCAAACCTCCAAGACCACCTTAAAAGGAAAAATGGGTAGATCATTAAAGTTTATCAATGTTGGTTAAAGTATGTTAACAATAAATTATTGATAATGAATAATAATGTGGTCATAAAGACATTAACAATTTATTTGCCTTTAACTAAACAGAAATAAGACATACCAATTAATATGTAACATTTGTCCGGGTTCATATAGGTTTTTGGTGAAGATTTCATCAAAAACTGTTTTGGATGCTTTACTATTTTTTCAGGTTCTTCATCCCTTATTTTCAGAATGACTTTACCGATGTGTCTGCCTGTTGCCATATATCTAAAAACCAATTGAAACATCTAAGAAAAATTATAAAATAAGATTCTTAACACTAACAACCTGTGTAATTTAAAAAATGCAAATATGATTAGGAATAAGATTATTGAATTAAAAATTATTGGCTATAATAAAAGATCAAGCAGTTTTGTTGTTTACTTTGGAACTTGTAACTATTGTGTTTGAGATTATTTCTGATGAATTGGAATGAGTAGGGCCACAAACATGCTTAAAGGACAAGGAGACTTTTATTGAAAGCCTGAAATTAATAAGTAAACATATTTTTTTTTCACATATAATAGCAATTTTATCGACAACTTGCAGATTTGCCTTTGGGTAGAATCTTATCTGTTACTTTGAGTGAAATATTTTTGTTACTTTCTTTCTCGTTCACTTAGTGAATTTTTCCATTTTTTGGGTTCAATTTACTAACATTCAGTTCTGGTTACCTAGTAGAAGTTACAGCTTCGCCCTTTCAATCTTTCTTTGTGCAGAGAGAATAATGCATTCAATATTAAAATTTCCTAATTTTTTATTATATTGTTCAACTTCTGAACAAAATATAAGAAATAAAAATTAATTTTTCATTAGTGATATATGAGTTTTACTAAACAACTAATCAACTATTCATTATATGTACTTAAGATCAGGTATATATTATTTTAGTTCATAAAATAGGTATTAATATAACTCACTTCCGGAGAAGTATATATACACTAAGAATCAGTAAATATACAAAAGAAAGTGTTAAATAGCAAACGTTAAATAAAAAATTCAAGATATTCAGCAAATTATTTTTGAATTAAGTTTTATTATTATAATTATATCATTTTTACAATAGAGTCCTTCTTAAACGACCTCCTTATAGAATACAGGAAGTTAAATTTAAAAAATAAAATAATAAATTTAAAAAAATTGTTTAATTAAAAGTTGATTAATCGTTAACACAATCAATATAATGTACTAAAAACGTTATTATAGCACTATAACTAAGCCATTTATGATGACTGAATGGTGTGGTAGAGGCCTGTAGGCATCTATGCCAGTACTGCTTTTCTGCGGCTTAGATGCATTTCCTACGGAAGTGCTTCAAATATTTTAAAAAGTAATCAGAGTTTTAGAAAGAGAAACATATTCTCCAGATGTTTTATTTCGGCACCTTTTGCGTTATTTTTGGTTGTATAATTACAAACAACCCTTGGTTTTCTACTTGAAATTTTTTTTATTAAAAAAATTGACTTTAATGGTGTTTTTTATAACTAAACCAATCATTTTTTTCATGTTTTATTATTCTCAGACTATCCAGCTTTAATAAAAGACCAACTAACTAAGCCAAATGCTGATTCTCACTGACCAAAAACTAACTAAAGTCAAAGTCGTCAGTCCGCCATGTTCAGACCCCATTTTGGGGCAGAGTGTTCACTTTTATATCACTTTTTTTTGTCAGAACATTGGCTTTTTTTTTTTAGTAAATAATTACAAGGAACACAACGATATGCAATGTATAGGGGTGCATGGGAGAAAGGGGTGCACGGTAGGGGGGTCTAGCCCACAGACTATAACTAATACAATTTATAGCATGCCTAGGCTGCTTATGAGACTTGTTAATGATTTGGTAATGGCATTAAAGGGAGATAAAAGTTTGTTATGGTCTAAATAATTTTCATAGAAATATCAGATTTACTTTTGAGCATGAAACTAAATGGAAGATTTTTGAAAATATTTATTATGAATAATAATGATATCTTATAAAGTGTGTAAACTAGGAATGAAAACAGAAGCCGACACACCTTGAACAACCAATGATATTGACTAGTACTCAGAGTGACACTGTGAACATACGATGTAGTATGATGTTGCACTATTAGACCCCAACTTCTACTAGCAACTTTGTGCTACCGCTTATGGCTGGTTCTTCAATTTGCTTTTTAAAAGCTGTAAACTGAATTTTAGTATAGCAAAGAACATTATTGTTATTTTTGTTATTAGAGAGATACCTTAAGATACACAGTAGAAAAAATCAGACCATAAGTACAAAAATTCCAGGGAAACATAACTTTAAAATCTATTAGATATCTTAATTACTTATCATAATTTTAAAAAAATTAATAGACTAATTGGCTAAAATCAACTTATTAAAAGTACCACTTCATAAAATTGATTTTACATACTTCTTTTTTTTATTTCAGTTGTATTAATAAGTTTGATTAAACTCCTCAAATAAATCTACAATTTGAATTTTTCATTGAAACAATCTCTCACAATCTTGCACTTAACTGCTAAATTCTCGAAGTTTCTTTCTCTAAAGAATCTTTGGTTTTTTTTTTTATTGGAAATAATTAACCCTCTCTCGCTGTTAGGTGTATAGAGAAAAACAGGATAGATAATGAAAGAGGAGAAATCAAAACAAGTTCTCTTGAAAGAACACATTACACATTCTGAAGCAGATTATAATAAGTACAACCAGCAATAGAAAAAAGTGAAAGAAATAGTCTTACGTCTAATAAGATTGTGGAAAAATAAGCATGGGAAAATTTTGATAAAAGCCTTGTAGAGAAACTCAACAAAAACCAGAAGCTCTTCTGTAGAATGTAGAGAGGAATGAAATAAAGAGAAGAAAGCAACCCTGAAATACATAAAACAATAAACAGGGTTTCAGACAAGACCTAGGTTGTATTTGAGAAATTTGTTGAGATATGAAATTCAATTTGGATAAACTTAGATAAAACAAACTTTACGAGAAGATAAAATAGTAAGTCCTAACATAGTGGTAATTTACAACAGATGAGTGATTTTAGATATTTTGGATCTCATTATTTTGGACCTAAATGAGCATGGCCCAAAGCTTCTTGAGCAAGAAAGAAATTTCAAAGAAAACTAAAAAGGTTTAGTTTATTATTAAAGCACATTCCTTCCAATACTTACCTGTGCAAGTGAATCTTAACACTTCAAGATTAAATACATGAGTCAGATCTAAGTAATGTAAAAGAGATTCACCAAGTAGATAAAAAAAGACCACGTGAAGAACCAGAGTGAATCTCAACATAAGACCAATAGATGAGTTTCTTGAAGAATTGCCTGAGATAATTCAGACACATATCCTGAATGCCAGAAAATGGAATAGCAAGGGCTACTTTTGAAACAGTTGCAGAGGGAAAGATACTGTGAGAAATATCCAAGAAAACTTGGAATGAAGGATTAAAAGTGAAATCAATGCCTTACCTAAAAGACTGCTCTAATTCTGTGTGATTGAAGGTTGTGGTTGGAAGAGGCCTGACAGCACCAGTCTTAATTCCATCTCGGACCAATCGTGCTACTTCCATCTTATCAGGATTGCTAGAAGAGGCATCGAAAAGAGCATCTAGTAGAATTCCATGGAATGCTGTGTTTTTCAAGAAAAGAGACATACCTATAAAATAGATTAAAATGTTTAATACATTAAATAACAATGTCTCAAGATGATTATATTAACAACAATAATAAATCTTTATTTGTGATAATTATTTACAATAATAATAAATCTTTATTTGTGGAATTACAATAACAATAAAATAGTTTATTTATAGTAGTAGTAAATTAACTTTAAATAATATTGAGCACAAAACAAAACGAGGTTTTCTTTGAATTCAATAAAATAAAAAAAACAAAGAAATAATAGAGGAGAGAATTTTTACTTCTTATTTAAAAATTCTTTCCACCAAATTTTCTGATGTATGAAACCCATTTCTTCTACTAATTTCTCTCCAGTGTCACTCAGGGGCTCATTCCCATTTAGTTTAGGGCAACTTCTTTGTCATTTCCATTCTTTTGGGTACCATTCAAGTCTGGCTAGACGATTAGAAAGTAGGAGCATTGAATATAGTATTATAAAGAAGCTGACAAAGATAAAAATAGACCAAACTTATAAAATGCATGTCTGCTTTAGAAGGGATGAAAAAATATCTGGAGACCAATATATATTTGACTATTTTAAAAAATGTTATGAATAAACCATCAGAAATAAATCACTTTCTACCAGTTAGAGCTGGGACAGAAACTGGAAATCCAGAAGACCACTGTGAACTAGATCAAGTAATTTATGCAATAAAGCACTTAAAAGATGAAAAATGAGCTTGATAAGGACCAGTCCTAGATTTCCATATAGACTCTTTAGTTCTCTTTTCTTTCTGATCTGACCGGACTCTCACTGGACTGATTGTGCACCAGAATATTTTTCTTTCGAAAATTGTCAGATCGCTTTCTCTTTTAGATAGCTGAGGTCAGTGGGGCTTAGGTGAGAATAGGGAGGATTAAAGTCTTGTAAGCCTGCTGGAATGACTACTGCAGATTGCCTTCAGAAACCTGAAGTAACAACCATTTAATATTTTTTGAACTTTGAAAAGCTCTTAGATATATTAAACAGAGATGTCATTACAAAACTTATGAAATGTATTTTAAGTATCAAGTGTAAATACATATCAACAATTAAATAATGAAACAAACAAAAAAAATATATATATAACAAATTGATAACAGGATAATACTAATTATTTCATGAAACGTCAAAAACCAAAGTATGTTATTTACCCAGCGGTGAATTATTTGAGAGGTCCAGCTTTCCAATTTCAAGAAATCGACCATGTTTTGCGAGGCAACTCACTGAGGCTTGCAGCTTGTCTTCAGATAATGAGTTCAAAACTAGGTCAACACCACGGCCTTCAGTTTCTCTCAGTATTATCAGTTCAAAGCTTGTGTCCCTTGAACTACCAATATGGGATGGCTTAACCTATAGTATTAAAAAAGTATTAACAATAAAACAAATCAATTTAAAAAAAAAATACAATTCTGAAAATCTATTACTTCTGGAAAATTTTTGAGGATGAATTCTCGTTTCTCAGATGTACCAACAGTTGTGAATACAGTGCAGCCCATGTGAAGAGCGATCGAGATGGCAGCTTGGCCTACACCACCTGTTCCAGCGTGGATGAGGACACTTTCTCCTCTCTTCATGCGGCCACGGACAATAAGTGCATAGTAGCTCTGAGTATAAAACATATCAAATGCTTTAATCATAAGTTTTCATTATTCCAATAGCCAATGATTACTTCTAAATTATAAAAGATTTTCATTGACAACTATTTATCCATATTATCCATATTCATTACCATATCTACCATATTCCATATCTACCATATTCATACCAAATCTATTGTACATAAGAAATTTTAGTTAAAACAAATGATTTTCTTACAGTAGCATAGACAACAGGGATTGTAGAGGCCTCTTCTAAAGACCATTTTGCAGGGACAGTCCACAGACCATGCAATAGAAAATTAGAGAAATCTATTGTACATAAGAAATTTTAGTTAAAACAAATGATTTTCTTACAGTAGCATAGACAACAGGGATTGTAGAGGCCTCTTCTAAAGACCATTTTGCAGGGACAGTCCACATAAAGTCTGGATCAGCCACAACAGAAGTAGCTAAACCACAAGCTGCAACACATCCCATCACACGATTTCCTTTTGAATCTCTTCCCGAAAATTCGAGTCCAAGTATACACTCCTGACACAAAATATATCAAGTATAGTGTTTGTAGTAATAATGGTATTATAAAAATATTTAAATGACTTTAAAAACAACTGATCTCAATAACATTGCTGAAAAAAAAAAATTCAATACCTGGTTAGCCATATCTCCTGGAAGTGCATCAGGAGGAAGTTTTCCAGTGGCCAACATAATATCTCGGAAGTTCAAAGGTGCATAATATACTGTGCAAAGTTCTTTTCCAGGATAATTCTCTACTCTAAAAGAAAAATGATAAGGAATTATAAATTATTGGAATTGGAATTGAAATTATAAATTTTTAATTATATAAAATTTCCATGTTTCCATAATAAGAGTTTAAGTAAAACGCTAAGCCTTTACTTATAGAATGATAGGGGTCCTTCAATCCAACGAAGGCTGGAGAGATCACCACGCACGAGTGTGTTAACATAAGCATGTTCAACGTTCAGTGAGCGATCATTAGAGTAAACTGGCAAATGTCTGAATGAACCCCATGCTCCATTTTTCAAGATGTTGACAAGCAGATCTTTTTTTATTTGATCTCTGTGCTGAGCCGTTGAGAATTTGCTTCCAAAAGTGAAAAAACATCTGAAAGAAGAAAATCCAAAATTTTCAAACACAGATTAAACTTAAAAGTAATAAACAACTAACACCACTCACTCCACACTGCAACAATTATGGGTGTGGTCAGTGTCAGTCTTAAACATTCGGCACCAATGGTCAATAATGTCATTTCTCTCCTTCCATTAAAAACATTTATTACTTAAGCTGTTTTAAATTATTTAATATTTGAATTTTATTTCAGTTAAAAATTCTCTATTGCAGTTGCTTTATTGATAGTCTAAAAATAATTTTGTTAATACATTTTTTTTTTAAAATTCCAACAAGTGGCAAGAGCCCTTGAAGATTGGCCGCGCGTCCCCAATGGGTGCTTCTCCAGGTCAGTACCCTGGAGCAATTGTCCTGATTGACGCACCGTAAGGCCGGCACTGAGAATGCCTCTGCAGGGATTGCAGAGCAGTTGAAACTCAATTGATACTAAACTCCTTAATACAACTCCAAAATCTAATCACTTCAACCGACTGACTTTGAAGAACTGATGGGAGTGGAGCATAGTTTTTAGGGTGTATGCTATAATAATAATAATCTTGAGTCAGTAAATATAGTATAGCTAAAATTAATGATCTCTATTAATTGTATGAAATGCTAATACAAATATCTTACCTTCAATTTTTTAAAATTTTGTACAATTAATTATATTAAACATATAAATATTAACTAAAAGGAGAAAAAATCACACTAATTGTGACATACTTTGAATTTTTACTTTTTTTTTTAGTAAGAATCAAATAATTGTTATGTTTTTGATTATGTTGTTGCTTTCTATTGTAAATGAACTATTTATATTCCATTAATTGTCATGCTATATTAATCTGTTCATTGAATAATCTCAATTCTTCCATTTGGATTGATGTTTATTTTCATTCTCCTCTGCTTTGTGCAATATGGTTTTTGAAGCGGCTGGTTGTTAAAGATGTATATGTTACAACTTACTGTTACAAATAAAAATTTTAAAAATACAATTTGTTTAATAAATTTAACACATAAACATTTTCAGGTTTCGTTTTGGCCTTCATCTGCTTCTAGACTTCTTTGTTAAGTGGAAGTCCTCTTTACTCAAAGTTTGAATGTGCATGAATGATCATCAGTTGGAAACTTAAAATAAAATAAGAATTCAAGACGAAAGTTATTATTGAATTTGCAAATAAGTCCTTTCGGTTTTTCTGTCTATTTTGATGTCATTATGATACACTTTTTATCTGATTAATTACTCTCTAAGGTGGATTGTTTATCATGTTTGTAATATGTCAACATCTGTTAACTTTTGTTGAAACTAGCTTAGTTTTATGTTTGCTGTTGCACTGTGAAAATGGAAGAAAATATCATTCATTATTGGCATATTTTGTTGTACTATTTTTAAAAAGGTAAGCGTGCAGCAGAAGCTCATAGAACAATTTGCAGTATTTGTGGGAATGTCTTAACTGAATGCACCTGACAAAATTGGTTTGCCAAATTTCGTTCAGTAAAATTAAATTTGACATCAAGATGCTCAATGGTCTGTTTGCCCACAAGAAATTGAAACGAGCAATGTTAAGGCCATTGTTGATGAAAATCCCAATCAGTGTGAGAGATTGCCATGGCCATAAATGTGTCACATACAAGTGTAGAAAACCATTTGCACAAGCTTGGCTATGTTCCCAGGCTTAAAGTTTGGGCCCCTGGCTCTCCAACTGAAGTCAATTTGGTAACAATTTCTGTTTGTGATTCACAACGGAAAAGGCAACAAAATGACCCATTTTTGAAAACATTGGTAACAGGAGATGAAAAATGGATATTTCACAATAGTGCTTAGAAAATCTTGGGGACCTAGTAGTGAGGCTTGTAGAAGAATCTCAGAACCTGGATTGCATCCAAAGAAGATAATGCTTTCCATATGGTGGGATTTCAAGTTATTTTCTATGAGCTATTGCCATCAGGACAAACAATTGATTCAAGTCTAGACTGCTCACAATTAACAAAATTGGATCAATCATTTGAAAATAAAAGCCCAGAACTGGCAAATCGGAAGGGTGTTGTGTTCCATCAAGACAACGCTAGGCTCCACACCTCATTAGATAAATTATTGAGCCTTGGATGGGACCTTTTGTCCCACCCACCCTATTCACCAGGTCTAGATCCAAGTAACTACCACTTATTCCGGTCTCTGCAGAACTCCATGAATAGAAAGAAATTCCAAACGGAAGAGAACATCAAAAACCACTTGGATCAGTTTTTTAACAATAAACTCCAGATACTATATGAACATGGCATTATGCAGTTAATGGAAAGATGGAAAAAAGTCATATTAAATAATGTTCAATATATTGTAAATTAAAATAAATTTTTTGTCTATAATACATTCGAGTTTTATTTCACCCTGAAAAATCGAAAGGACTTATTTGCCAACCCAATATAATAGCTACCTAAGTTTGTCTCCTCCTTCTTCCCTCTTTAAGCAGTTAAACAAACCAATGAGACCACAGAAAGGATTATCATCTGCCACCAGAAGGATTCTTTCTTTGGGATCCTTAGATTCTTGCATAATTTTCTTAAGTGGGTCAATCCATATGAAATTAGTCTGCTGAATAGGGATGATTTGGCTTGGTAAGAAATCCCTCTTCTATGAATATAAATTAATATACCCAATGACATCATTAATAAATAAAACTATGACAAAAAAAAAAAGTCAATATAATATTAGATTTCACATACCCTTCTCAGCAAAACATAAGTACTTTCCTCTGTTTTGGATTCAGAAACCAAGACAAATTTGTCAATTTCCTTCAACTCAGCTGTAATATACTCATGAGATTCAACTGATAAAATGAAACCAGATTCCATAACACTTTCAGAGGCATTGTTGAAAAGCTGTCCATTGGAGAGGAGTTTATGACCTATCAAAATACTGTAGGTATCATCCAAAAGGTCTTCAGCCAGATCCTTATTAATAACATTGATTTCACTTAGAGCACTCCTGTCAATATCTTCAGTAGTTGCAATAGAAAAGTCAACCTGATTGAAAGAAAGTCTTTGAATTTTTTTTTTTTTTTCAATTTATTTAAACAGAGTGGAAGTTATACAGAATTGGAATTTGACATCTACAAAATTTTTGCAATAAGTAAATCTGTACACATATATATTTATAGGGCATAGTACATATTAAGTACGATAATCTTTGGGCCATCGCCTCAAAAGTCTTTGGGATGGGATGTAGGGATTTGTAGTTGAAATAAGTGCTTTGGCTAATGGGTTTGTGTTGTAAGTCAATCTCTGTGAAAATTTTTATAGTACTGTGTTGCAGGGGAGGTCGGGGGTGGCCGAATGGGCTAACATGTGTGCATAGCACCACGAGTTGTCCGGCAACCAGATAACCAAGTTTTGAAATTGAAAAAAATACAAGTTCGCGTCTCGGTGCCAAAGAGGATTTTAAATTCTCTGCACCACTCTCCGGCCCGGGAAAATCCTGTATAGCCTAAAAGGCGAAGTAGGGAATAACAGAAAAAAAAATACTGTGTTGCAGTATTTAAAACCATTTGGATGTCCAAGTCATTGTTTGGCAGCTTGTTCGTCACAAAGAACAGTGAGTCTGATATTTTTCTCAAAACTGAGTTTGAATTTTGAGGATTTTAGTAGTTTTTACAGTGTGCTATAGCTCTATCCAGTAAGTCCATAAAGGGTTTTTAAGTAATTGTAAATGCTAAGTTAAGGATAATTTGGAGGTTCAGTCAAGTAACCTGGATAATAATTCATAGCCTTTGTTCAGTTTTTTTCTCTTCAGTTTAGAATGGGTTCTCAATGTCAGTCTCTTCTAGTGTTCTGTTAAGTCTGCTGTGAAAATGTAGAATATTAATGGTCTGAGTACGCTGTCCAATGGAACTCCTCTAATAATTTTTTCATGCTGAAAATTCATTGCCAACTTTTACAGTAAAGTGTCTTTTCAGTAAAGCGTGTTCTCTGAATTAAGAGTTTATTATTAAGTAGTGGGTCGAGAGAAGCAATATTTTGAGCTTGGAAAGCAATCCTTCATGCCATACGTTATCAAAAACTTGATTGATATCAAGAAAAATGTCCAGACAATAATTTTTTGACTCCAAAGCATTGGAAATGTAATCTACTAATCGATGGTGTTGTATGGTTGAATGATGTTTCCTGAATCCAAATATCTTATTTTTATATCATAAAAACTTCTGAATATTTTCACACAGCTGGGAAATATGTTATTCTAAGAATAGAGTTGAAGATATTAGTTAGCAAAGGGATTGCTTTCCAATGCAAGTTTTTCAGGAATATAATTTGAAATTAAGTCTTAACCCAGAGCTTTAGAAATAAAATTTCAAATCATATTGGTTATGGGTTTTTGATCAAAAAATTAAATCCTCTTACCTGTATTGCTGGTTCTGCTGCCAACACTGATTGAATAGAAGAAATAATGGATACATATTCTTTTCCAACATATTCCACAATATTTATTTTCTTACTTAATGGACAATTTTCAACAGCCAATTGGATTTGAGATGTTATTACTTCCGCCTTTGACATAACCTATTAGTAAATGTACATTTTATTTATTAGTTTATTGCCTTTTTTCATAAATGTATAAATTAAAATTAATAACATTTTTAATTTAATTTATATAATTTTATATTTAAAAACTATTTTTTTAAAACAGGTTTTAATGTCATTAATTTTAAGAAATGTAAATGACTGGTTCAATATAGAACCTTTGATGTATTATTTATACAGTTCTAAATGCTGAACAGGGGATGGGTCAAAGTATTCTCATAATGTCCAAATGAAAATGATAAAGAAAACACAATTAATTATGAGTGATTATTTAGTTAAGTTTGACCTATGTGCCTATGGGTCATATTTTCAGAAAAATACAATTGAAAGTTTGGAATTTGCAGAGTTTCAATCCATGATTCACAAAGAAATATTCATCTCTGTAATAGGCCGTGTGAATTTGAATTTGACACGAGTGATAATACATTGAAATAAGAGGTGTAGTGGCGGGGTGACCCAGACCACATTATATTGCTCAGTTAATGTCTGGCTTTCGGCCGATACAGAATTCTTGGTTCCTTTCCAGTGGCCAGACAGTACAGTTTGGTTCCCACTAAACCTGAGGTCAGAAAGATGTTGGCTCTCAGATCTTTCTCAGTAAAGTACTTTCTCAATAAAAATATCCAGATCAAGAATTATGCAGCCCAAGTCGCACAAGATCAACCAGCAGTTTATATGAAAAGTGCTTTCAAAAATTTATTAAGAAACCCATTGGACAGTATCTTATTTTATGTAATCTAATCATTAAATATGTTTATCTTATTTAATGATTACATTAAATAAAGTTATGTATTTTATTTTTAATTCTTAATATATGATTATATGTACTGATGTTGTTTCTTCAATTTAAAAATATTGTCACTGACCAAACCTGTAACCACTTAGTACACAAATAAAAATATTCAAATATAAAAATTTAACTAAAAAATATATAAAACTTGAAATATTAATTTATTATTTTTAAAATATTAGTATATTTGGTGCCATAATAGGGACAAGAAAGATTATAAATACAATTATTTTTAAAATATTTAAATATTTCACTCCCGAATAGTGGTTTTCGATCAATAAAACTATTATTAAGTCACTATTTAAATTATTAGAATTATATATATTATACATTTTATAAAATATTTTAATATTGATGGAGCAGTACAGTAAGGGAGAAGATTAATGTTATAGAGAGCACTTACTTTATTGTTATTTAATGGGACAAATATATATTTTTCAGTTGTTGGGGCCGCCTGTGTCTGTTGTCTTCTAGGAGCAAGACTTAATTTAATTCCTTTGATCTCGACTCCACCTGACTGCACTACTCCAAGATATGAATCATATATAACAGATACACCTGGAAGAAAAGGAGATTAAAGTAAACAATAAATTAAATTAACTTTGCTTAATAAATGGTTCTTACTTTTGGCATCCTGTATTTTTGCCAGATGAGCAATGGGATCAATAATGATTTTTTTGTATCTTGTGGGAATCAAAAGTTCTCTTGAATTTATTTTGATTATTGCAAACTGTAACATAGTATCCATAAAGCTGATCCAATTTCCTCTCCATTCTAGTTCTCCTCTGTTTTCTAAAAATGAAAACCGAATAGAAAATTATTTGGGAAGATAAAATCACCATTTTGCAATTGTACCTATCAAACAGAACTAGTAGTATTTCAAGGGAAAGAGCAGTGTGTTTGTTTACCTAAATCATCAGCTTTAATAACACCTCTGAAAATCCCTTTATAATCATAACCTCTAAGGTGAAGATCTTTATAAATGTCCTTCTTCTGTAGTTTGAAGCTATCTTTAACTGCTCCTGGAAGAGGTCCGAGAGAGAGGGATTCTTTCTCATACCCAGTAGACTCCTTTATTTTTCCTCTGACCACAATAGCTCCACTTTCACGAATCTCAAATTCACCAGACCCTTCTAGTATATTGACTAGGAACTTTATAGCACCTTAAACATTAATTATAGTAATATTAATAGTCCATGGTATTACAGTCTTTCTTTTATCAAATTATTAAGATCCACCTAGAACTTCGTAAATAGCTTCATCTCATTGTAACCTACATATATTTAATTTACAAAAATTCTCAGATCTGGGGCATTTTTAATCTGGATATTGTCGAAATTTATTTAAATAGGTGCTAAAACTCACAAATACCCATTTGCTTTCCATTTGAATCGTAAAATAATTTGAGCACAAACTCAAGGGAAAAGGTGGCCTTTAAAAATATTGAGCCATTTTGCATAACCTACATCCCCGAAATGTCAAAATAACGAGGTTGTATATGCCAAACGGCCCAATATTTTGTAGGTCTCTTTTTTTCTCGATTTTGTGATCAAATTATCTTATGATCCAAGGGGAAATAAGTAAGTAAGAAAATGACAAAAGCAAATGGATTTATACGAGTTTTTAGTTAATTAAAATATTAAATAGACAAAGTTTGCCAATCTCCACATTGAAAACGCCCCTTTTCTAAGAATTTTTTAAATAAAATAGTTGTAGGTCATGATGAGATGAAGCTATTAAGGAAGTTTCAGGAGGATGTTAATAATTTGATAAAAAGAGTCTGTACCACATACTATAACATTAACAATAATAAGTTTAAAAAATCAAAGAGTGTTAGAAATTGTTATAGTCAAGCTGTAATGAATATTTGTACAATATACAATTATTATAATTGCCCCTACTGCCTCCAAGATCGTGGGCCTTTTCAAGGATAGCCTGCAGCAGTAACAACTTTCCACTTTCTAACTGCCAGTTGCCGCAGGTCTGCCTCCATGTCATCCAACAATCTCATTTTAAAACTTTGTGGCTTTCCATACATTAATTGTTTTGAGAGATGATTGCTCCCATACACTATACATGACTGCAACACCTTAAACGTCTCTTTTTTATTATGACCACAATATCAGGCCGGCCAGTCATATAATGCTCGCAGTTCATTGTAATTTATTATTTTCCTCTGTTTCCCAAAGCAGAGCAGTTCGTATATTTTTCTTAAAACTCTTTGTTCCCATGAAGTTTGGTATCTTTCCATATCCTGAATCTTGGCCCATATCTCACTTCCATAAGTGACTGTGGGGCATAAAATGGTTTTATAAATAATCATCTTGGCACTCCATGAGAGATCTTTGAACCTTAATGCCTTGCTCACTCTAAAGTCGCAACAATTTCCTGTGTCTATTCTAGGCTTTATTTCTTTTGGAGCTCATTTCTTTCAGTGACTATCGATCCAAGGAATTTCAAGGCTTCCTAAAGTGAGAAAAATATGACCAATGATATTAATAGAATGTGAACTCAGTGAAGGGTTTTGATAATTCCTAGGTGAATATTGTTTGTGTAAGCCAATACCTGTGTGTATCTATTGAATATTTTAAAGCCAGGATTGCAACTGATTTCTCACAAAAATCAAACCTTCCATGCAAAAATTAAAGAGTTTCAACCATAAGATCACCTTTCCAAGTCCATTCTTATAAGTAAAACACTATCCAAGTGTACTCTGTGATTTGATCTGGCATTAAGGATCGCTCATAGTCATACAAATCATACTCACTGCCTTTTTTGCTCTATCTCAATTATTGCATATAGTTCACTGAGTACTATATCTGTGCCATACTTCAGTAGTTCCACTGGTAAATAGACAACCTTAGGAGCTTTATAATTTTTCATGCTGAAGAGAACTGCCGTAACCTCTTCCTTCTAGGAAGGTGCTTCAATGTCCTCTCTATCATCTTTCTCTTTGTTCAGCTGGCTCTGAAAATGTTGGGTCCATCTGCTGATTACATCTCTCTGGCTGTTCTGAATGTGTTCCAAAGATTGCCTTTTCTCATCCTTTATAAAATCTTGTCTTGAAACCCTGTTTAATATGCATAACAGCCCTAAAGTAACCTCGTGTATTTTTATCTTCATGATTTTTTATGTTTAGTATACAAGTGGATTAAAAAAAAATCTACAACAAATAAGATACAATATAATTTCAAAATGATAATTTACCATCTTTAGGCATAATTGTTGCTCTGAGAAATTGTGCATCCTTAATGATCACTGGCATCTGCTCGAATTCCTTATCATGCAGTTTAGCAAATGTTTGCCACACTAGGCTCTGGAGAAAAAACAAACATATTTAATGAGGATCTGTATTAATACAAATGAATAATTAACTAAATAAATGGTACTACAGCCCTTGTTAGGCTTAGGTCACACTAAAAATTGATATTAATTCCTGTATCTCTTCAGCCATTTTCTAACTCCTATCCACCTCAGATCATGTTCCATGTCATCTACGAAAGTATCTCAGCCTTACTCTCTCACTCAATCTCTTTCTACCTTCCCAGCCATTCATCATCCATCGTCTTCTTTGATACCGAAGAATCTGGAAAGAAGATAAAAATCTGGCATCATTTGCCAATGGCCTAACTACAGCTGTCATCTTCTTTGATGATGGTTACAACATTAGGCTCACTTAAGAGCTGTTTGAGCTCATTCTTATTTCTTTTCCAAACCTTCAGGATCATCTTGCGTTTTCAGTGGGAGAGTGTTAGAAGAGTTTGAAGTGACTGAAGCGAGCAAAGAGTTGAGAATAAGTGAAAATAAAATGGAATACATTATGAAATCAAGAAATCAATCAAGTTGACAAAAATAAGACCAAATTAATATATTACAAATGACTATTTGTATAAATAAATGAAAAAAAAAAATTAGTACTCACAAGGTAGCCTGAAGCTGGAAATAAAACCCTTCCATCAATACAATGGCCGCTAATATTGGTATCTTTATTTTCTCCACTGTTAACTTCAATGATTAACTCTCCGGTACCTTTGTCCTAGATTTAAAATCATCACTAAATTTCTAATATATGTTACAATTTTAATTCAATTCATACATTTAAACAATATCAGAACAATATATATATATATATATATATATATATATATATATATATATATATATATTATTTATTATTTATTTTTTTTTTTTTTTTTTTTTTTTTTTTTCTTGGCTATAAACATAAAATACAATTAACAAAAATATAATTCATCCCTTAAAATATACATTCATTATTGTGCAAATGATTACTATTCAAAAAAACACAATTGAATGGAGAACACTGATATGCATTATTAGAAATAACTTAATATTTTACTTAGTTGCCACCATAAAATTATATTTAAAATTATAGTTAAATATTATGAACTATGCGTTTTCTGATTATTGACAGTCTTCTACTGAATTTCCTTTATTTTCTTCCGTCTTGCATTCAGTCTTGAATATTCTCCACTTCTTTGGTACAGACTGTCGGTACTGCATTCCTCTGAAATTCTTGCTAAAAATTCTCCTTCTCCAATAGCCTTTCCATAAACTAAAAAAAAATCTTACTCCTCTCTTTGCAATAAATGTTTATCACACATTTTCCTTCCACCATCTTTCTCATGAAAATCTCTGAGGCAGCTTTAAGACTGTAGAAGTTATTTTTAAAATATATGTACAGCATCTTTATTACCTTCTTTCATTATTTCATTGTATATTATCACACTTTTATGACCAATTATATTGCATATCATCGTTTTTTTTAAAGCATACTTTAATGGTTTTTGTTTGACCTAAATCTGGGCCTTAGTTATAACCATGCATAAATAGTTTACTTTTTGAGTTATTCTCAATTAAACCTTTCTTGTCTTTATAACTTTTATTCCTCATTTTCTGGGTATGTGCTTATTTTTCAATACTCAAGCATGAAATAATCCACAAAGAGATGGTTCAATCATTGGATTTGATGAAGCATGGCCTACCAACAAATGAGCAAACGTTTAAAAAAATATTATGTGAAAATATTCAGATTTTTTGTCATTTATCTAGTGAATTAGTGATCAGTTTTTCACTGTTCAAGCGATTTTACGACTGTTACGAGATAGGCCAAAGGAAATAGTGAAAATTTTACTCAAAACAGTCAAAAAATACTTTGAACAGTGAAAAATTGATCACTCGTTCATAAGATCAAAGAGGAAAAGCCAATGAAAATTTAGAAATTTTGCACATTATTTTTCCTATTAGTTAGGCCTGCCTGCTAAAAGAAATTTATAATTCATAAGTGTAATGTGCTTCAGATTTATTTATTTATTTATTTCTATTCCTTACTATCATTCTGTAGTCAGCAATATCCCATTCAGCAGAGTGATCCCATTCCACTAATGATGAAATATTTGGTGTTCCTCTTGATACTGGGTATGTAATAGGTGGATATAATGCCTGCACCTTGAGCTGAAGACCAGCATTGTACAGCCTAAATCAAATCATTAATATTATTTTGACAAAGAAAAGCATTTAGAAATTTAATTAAATAACAATACTATAAAACTTTAGCTATACTATTTTATAACCACAATTTCAAAAAAATACTAAATAGTCAGCTCAGATATTTAGTCAACCCTTTCCTAATTCAGATATAAAGTGTAACATTAAAACATTAAAAATTAATTTATTTATAGTATTTTATCAATAAAACTAAATTCTATTACTTTTGTTATTAATATACTAACTTTCCAATATTGGTCAAGAAAAAGCCTAATTCATCGGAAGTATTTTTCTTTATTAAACCAATACTCAGACAAGATTTAGGTACTGATCTCTTGACGACGGCTTGCAAGAGAGCGTGAGGAGCAATTTCAATAACAATTGCATTCTCTGGAATATGTTGGAGTGCTTCATAAAACAAGACTGGAGAAAGAAGATTGTTGACGTGGTAGTCTGCAGAGGATGTAGCAGCGAGTTGTGAGTTCCAGTCAGATTTTGGAATTGAAGTTGAACACCATCTCTTTGACCTTGGTTTTGGGTTTTGAATGAGCTAACATAAAAGAATTTCTCTATACGGATATTGTAGTAGCTTGAAATAGTTTAGTTTACATGTAATATAATGGTTACCCTTTCCAGGTTGATTCTCAGTTTCTGCCCAACTTCTTCAATGTATTTAGAGTGGAACGCAACATTGGAGCTACTGACTTTTTTTGCAAATTTTCCTTGAGACTGCAGTTCTACAACAAACTTGTCAATGAGATCAGGAGGTCCTGAAACAGTTACTGAGTCCTCACCATTGTGGCAAGCTGCATAGACACCGGGCGGTGCTTGTGCTTTGGCTTCTTCCCATGTTAGAGCTACAACAGAAAATTTATACTTCAATTTCACCTTGATTATTTTAATATAAACAAAACAAAAATATGATTTATTACAAATCGCAGCCATAGCTCCTTTTGGTGTTTTACTATCAACAATACACCTGCCTCTCCAGTAAGCAGCTAATATGGTCTCTTTAGCTGTGAAACATCCATCAGCATATGCACATGCCACTTCACCAACAGAATGACCTATTATACCATCAGGAGACAGACCAAGTGAGTTTAATAAATCAATTAAAGCAATCTGAAATGAAAATTATAGTAATAATACAATATTTCTTAAATATTAAAATTTCGCAAGATAAAAGTATAATAAAAGAGAAATTACTTGAGTAGCAGTTATAGTAATGAAGGAATGTAAGACATTTTCGAATATGGATTCATCAATACTGTTCATGATAAGGTCGAGAAGATCTACTCCCTCAATGGCGAGGACTGCTGCACTCTGATGGATAGACCTGGCAAATACATCAAAATCCATTAGAGCTTTCCCCATTCCAGGCCATTGCGTTCCCATTCCTGACATTATGTACCAGACTTCCCTTTTCTCAACTGGTTCCTCCTGTAAATAGTACACTAGCCAGTTTATGTAAAGAATCATAAATCTATCACCGGCAACTATACCAAAAATAACTCACAGAAACTTCTCGAATAGGTGTTTCAGAAAGCACAGTGAATCCTCTGAAAGGATGACCAACAATCCTCTTACTATGGATGTCGTGGAATAGTGCAATCATTTCATCATCTCTTGGCATTTTTTCAATCTACATAAGTCTTATTAGAATATTGAAATGAAAAACAGTTTAACCTAATTTTTAATCAAGATCCAGGTAACAATATTTTATTAAATATATTTTACTTTTTGTAAGAATTTAGTAAGAGTAGTTGATGTTCTGCCAGAAGCTATAACTATCCTGGGGATACTGCTTTTGGCTGCGAGTGGTTTGGGTTTAGGATTAGATCTAAGAATGACGTGAACATTACAGCCACCAAAACCAGAAGAACTGATTCCTACCAGCCCACCATTCCATTTCCAGTTCTTGTCAACAACCTGAAAAAAAAAATATATATTTTAATAAAATTCTTTATTTTTCCGGGACAAGTCCCTTTAAAATAACATACAGTAACAGAACTGTGGGCTTTAGATCAAATCTAAATACAAAATAAAAATAAAATAAACAAATATAAATAACATTAAATTATAAGTTAAATTTTAACATTAATATTTTTTAAATTTAAATTGAAGAAACTTGAAATGATAATGGTTAAAAATTTTTAATTTATTTAAATATATACAGAAAAATAAATTTACAATATTTTGTGAACTTGATGGATAGGAAGTCATTGAACAGGTAGGACTTTAAGGTGTAGAAGATATTGGAGCGACAGATGCAGGAGGGGATGGAGTTCAACAGAGACAAGGATTGATATACTGTTGCATACAAGCCTGGAGAGATAATACGGGAGTGAAAAGAGGATTTAAATTGAAGGAGCTTGGAAACATATGACGGACAGCAGGATTGTATGTCTAGGAAGAGGAAGAATGCCAGGAAGTACTTACAACTATATGAAGTACAAAACCACTTCAACTCTTTATAAAAATGGGAGACAGGTGTCCTTTGGAATCCTGATGATTAAAGACAGAGTAATTTATCAATTTTTTAGTTTTGCCTCAAGACCCCCAGATGCCTTATACTCTGCACAACATTAGTCAAAGTGGAGAAATATTAGAGAAGTAACAAGGAGCTTATGGGTTTCTAATGGAAATAGGTGGCAGAGGTAATTTAGATGCTTTAAGGTGAAAAACAAATAACAGGGGATATTGCAAGCAAAGTTTTTCCAGGAAAGAGTTTGGTCAAAGGTTATTCCAAGGCTTTTAATGACATGATAAAATTTTATGAAATTGAAAATTATGGATCAGGAGGGTAAGGTCTTTAATATAAATAGCAAACAGAATAGGGGATAGAGAGGATCACTGATGGACAACATAAAAGAGGGGAAGTTTCTTGGATGGAGACTGATTTGGGACTACTAAGAAGGATGTTATGGTCAACTGTGTCTAATTCTTTGGAAAAATCTAAAAGGATGAGGATAATTAGTTTTTGATTACTTTTGATAATTAGTTGAAGGCCAAATAGAACATAGCTACTGAGGGAATGTTCCTCTAGGAAGTTGAAGAATTGATTTTATACAAGGCTTCTAGTGGTTTTGAAAGGATGGATAGGAGGAAATAAACAATAACAATTTATTTTTAAATAGTGGTTTATAATATTAATGAATGAATATATTTTTAATTTAATGAACTAAAAAAAATCATAAAATTAATTACTTGAAGACACCCATTAGTTAACCCAGGAATATCAGTTCGTGGACTTTTGAAATGTAGATTAGCAGGAATCACACCAGATTCCATAGCCATTAAAACCTTGGCTACAGAGGCAAGACCTGATGCAGGTTCGGCATGACCCATGTTTGATTTGACCGAGCCAATGAGGAGAGGGGACTGCCTATCTTTGCAGAATATGTCAGCAATAGAATTCACTTCTTGTGCATCACCAACCTGAAAAGAAAACAAATATAATAAAAAATCTATTTTCATTACAAAAGAACAATTATTAGTAAAATAAAAATAAATTTACCTTTGTGCCTGTTCCATGAGCTTCAACATAGGCAACATCGATCGGGTCTATTCTGGCTTCCCTGTAAACTTGAAGGATCAGCTCCTTCTGTGCTTGGCCCGAAGGAAATGTGACACCCTCAGTTTTGCTTCCATCAGTATTTGTTCCAGTGTTTACTACTGTGGCATAAACTCGTTTTGCATCTCTAGCTTTTTGTAGAAGAAGAGATACTACTGCTTCACTCCTAACATAGCCCTCCCCTGTTTAAATAACTGATTTAATCTACTTCATTTCAAACTAAACATAAATAAATTTAACACACAATATTGTTCATACCTGAATCATCGAAAGCTTTGCATTTGCCATCAGCACTCAACAAGCCCAATCTCAAAAACTGAACTGAAACAGCGGGTTTTAATAAGACATTTGTACCTAAGACAATAGCAGCATCACATTTTCCTGCTCGGATTGCCTCTACCGCTTGGTGTAAGCCAAGCAAGGAGCTGGAGCAGGCTGAGTCAATTGTATAACTGGGCCCTAAAAATTTCAGTTGACAAAATTAATTGACATAATAGACATTTTTTATATTCCTTGTTATCAAGCTTACCGTGTAAATCGAATGAGTATGATATTCTGTTTGCAAGCATTGCTTTTGCATGACCCAACAGTTCATAACCATTTATTTTATCAGGAAAAGTCGAATAGAAACATCCACTATCAAAGCTACTGGATCCAGCTATTACTGCTGTATTGGATCCCTTCAAATCCCCTGGCTGAAGACCTATGGAAATTACAGTGAAATAAATATATCATCAATCGCTCCACTAAAATTATTGAAATTAGATTTATTTTTGTAAATTAAAAAAATCTAAAATTAATTAATTGGGATCTATACTTAACTTAAAATGTACATCAAGGGATATCAAATGATTATTCTCACCAGCATCAATAATGGCTTCATAAGTTGTCTCATGACCAATCCTGAGTTGTGGATCCATACAGTCAGCTTGTTTTGGATGAACTCCAAAAAATGTTGCATCAAAGTTTGAAATGTTTTTTAATGTTCCCATTCTAGCAGGCAGACCATAAATACCTTTAAAAAAAGTTAATTTTTATGGCTAATACATTTTTATTATTCTGAATGTTAAACTTAATTAACATAAATGTGAAAAGTTTTTTTTGTTTTTTTTAGCGGACAAAGAATATATTTTAAACAGAATTAAAACAGACTAGTGAAATATTTGTTAATGCCAGTTTTCCTATAAAATTTATTCTCATTATTTTAACATTTTGATTCTGTCTTCATTTTAAAATGTTATACTTATTATAAATAAAATGAATCAGAATTAATAAAATTGTAATAAATAAAGCCAACTGTGATTTATTCATTTTTTTTTTCGGAACAAAGTAATTTTAAATTACTCAATTTAAAATTCAATCATTGAAATTAAACAAAACTTAAAATATTCATTTGAACAGGGTTATATTGTATAAAGAAAATGGAATTGGAAAACATAAGAGTGATTTGTGACTACCAGTTAAAGTAATTAGAACCCATTTTCAATAACCAATTTGGTCCACCCATAAAACCTCAGGACATCGTTTTCTTCAGGTGCCAACATAAATACACCCTTCCTGTCATCAACAATGAGAACAAGAAAGGGGGAGAACAGAAAGGGAGGAGGAAGAACTGTTAATGCTCAATGCTTAATGCAATTGAGCATAAATTTCTGCATCTTTTCTCAAAATTATATCTTCATTTCTCTTTGAAAATATCACTTCATCTACAAAATTCAACACGAAATCTCGACCTCATTGATTTCTTTATCCACACTTGATTAGTTCCTCTTCATTAGAGGAGTCCAAAAGCGGGTTTCATAGCGCGAGTTGCCAAGCTCAATGGCTTTGGAAAAGACATTGATCCCCTATGCCCTAGAGGTGAGGCTCCTCTCATTGTTGGTCAGCGAGTTGGTCAGCACGGACTTAGCCGGGAGGAACTTCCAAGGAATTTCCACCGACCATCCCCACATCCGCCACCCGTGAGAAGCTCCCCATACGAGTATTCCTACGAATTCTTGCAACATTTACAGACGATAGCCCTGCAATTGATGCATTGTAACCGATGTTACTTCCTTTTTCAGCCACAGCCCGGCATCTTTGTATTCACCTAGATAAAAGATTAACATGAAACCACATTTCAGACCAAAATATACGAGCATAACCGACGATATGGACCACTGAAAAGAACATCCCATATCCAATAGATAACAAATTATTCAGATGCAACGATAGACGGGATTGAACTATGGAGATTAATTTTCGAACAGCAAAGATCACTAACGAGTCCTGAATTTAATTTTTTTGGGGAGGGAGGGGAGGAAGAGCTTCAGTCCGAAAGATTTTTGTTTTATGTATATGTATATATTACGATAATTATCATAATATATACATAAAACCAAAAATGATCTCTAAAAGTATTATTGTTCATCTAATGACATTTTATAGGACTTAAAGAATCACTTAAACACTATTTCATACAGGTATTTAGTTTCTTTCTTTCTTCCTAAGTAATTATAATTACTTAAACATAATTTGATTAAATAATTATAATTACATAATTAATTATTATTCATTTATTATAATTATAATTCCGATGTAATTATCAAGTCCTATAAAATTTAAATAGATGTACAATAATACTTTTATACATAATTTTTTTTCATAAAACGTGATTATATTTTACCCTTTTGGGGGGCTCCAGTCCGAAAGCCCCCCTCCTCTTCCCTCCCTCCATAGATCCGCCTGTGCCAAAGATACACAATCCTTTCAATTAAAAGTCTTTCAAATAATAGTCAATGCTCTATATTATGTCACAAACAATACCTTATATAATGGCGTCGACATCCTCTATATTTTTTACTTAATTTCAACCTGAACCTAAAGAAGGTCATGAAATGAAGTTCGACAGGAAGACGAAATGGAGATGGTTTCGCAGCAGTTGTAACAAAAACGTATCTTATTCAAAAACGTATCATGTTTCCATAAATATGACATTTGTTTTTGTCTATTTCATATATATGTTGTAAAATAAAAGTTTTTTATTATTATTACATTTGTTTTTGTCTATTTGAATTTCCACAAATATGAATACGAAGATAGGGGTTATCAGTGCCTTATTAGAATTATCAGTGTTCAGGTAATAAACATTGATAGTCCATCCCGACCGGATTTTTCACAAATACCCTTTCAAGCTTGGCCTACTCAATATTTTTTCGGTTTTTATTGAAATTCTGTTACTAGAGGTCTTAATTTTTTTTTTAACGCTTTAACATGTTCGGTCATCACGTCCTATTTTTTCTTCGTTAACTCTCGTTTCAATGTAGATTAGAAAATCTGTAGGTTTTGTTAGTAAATTATTCGTTCACATATGGGAACCTTTTACCTTGCACTTAGTGTTATATTTTACTGTTTAAACAATAAGTAATCCACCTCTTAACTCGGTATCGTTAATTATTATAGAATGTACAGCAACGATTTTTATATTGGATTTTGCAACCAAAGAGGTAAAGAAAGTTATGTGACTTGACACACCATATATTTTAAATTAATATATTTTTTATATGTGAACCATATCTTTTGAACAATAACCAGGACTCACCTCTTTTCCAACGACGCTCCGTATCAGTCACCATATCCTTTCCTGCCAGAAGATTTTCCATGAACTCTTGAACTGTATCAGACTCTGGAAATCTACCGGAAATTCCAGATATGACGATGTCTTCGCTATGGCTACTGCATGGGCTGTCACCTGCGATCTCTTGAATGTGGTCCATCTCTGGTTATTGAGTTTAAATTTTAACTTCGCGAAATAAAAAGAAACAGTCCTCTATATAATACCACTACACCTCATGAAGATTTATGGGTCCAGTTCTTTCCAATGAAGTACTGTTTCAACACTAATGAATTGAATTTATAAACCTAACTATCCATTGATTAGCACCTGGAACAATACAAGATATTAACTGTTTTCGCTTTATTTAATCTAACCTTATTTTTTTTTATTGTTATATATTATTTATTCGTGTTTCACCAGTATCCTTATGTACTTCAACTGGGGTAGGGAATGAAGGCAATTACTTTTCACACATTACTGTGTAACATCTATCAAATTGTTAGATTCAATGATATCCTTGTATAGAGGCTGGGAACGGGGGAGGGAGGCATGGCATTTCCCCTCTCCAAATATTTTATGAAAGGGGAGGTCAGGATTTTACTGGCTATCCAATATCTGTCATTTACTTTTTTAAAAAACTCACATAACAGTTTAATAAACCATACAATTAATAATTATGTATTCGGGAGAGGATTTCTGTAGACCCCAGAAGATGGAAGATGATCCTCCGGGAGGGTACATTGCAACAATGGAACCGCGATGGGTGACAACCCCAAACGGATCCACACTAAGAAAATTCTTTCCCACCATTGAATCGCACTTAGAAAAGAAATGGGTCCTCCCGGACTACTGGGTCTCACAGATCCTCACGGTGCATGGGGGTTTCAGAGCGAAACTTTTTAAACATGGTAAAAATATCCGTCCCTTATGCTCCACTTGTGGAGTATCTGAAACCGCTGAGCACATCCTTGTAGCCTGCACCAGCTATGAGGCATTGAGGGCCAAATTAATGAGGGATACGGTGCTTTTCGTTCTAACAGAAAGACAATTACCCCAACTGATGTCTGAACAAAACTACCAGCACTTTAAAAGTTTTGTATGCGGGTGGAAAAAAACTGTGAGCTCGACCCACTTCTCCCTGGGTAGGCGTGAAGAAGCAGTACCTGGAAGGCCGCTGATTAGGACAGGAGAAGAAGATGGAGGACGATAAAATGAGGGACAAAATTATGAAGCAGACTGTGTGCACAGCAATTTAAAAATGTAAAAAGATTTAAAATGTAATATGTAAAAATTTAAAACTTGCAACAGTGATTTGTTATGCAATGTGTATCAAGTCACTGCCGCAAACTCCCGTATTGTCTTAAATTCAGGGTAGGGAGGAAAATAAAACAAAAATAAATAAAATAATAATAATTATATTAAACAATAAATTAATAATTATATTAAAAAATAAATTAATAATTATATTATACGTCAGGTAATAGGCTAATGACTGTGCTTCGACAAATCGAAAATCACAAGTGTGTTTTAAGTCAAAACGTTATAAAATTTTATACCTCCATAGATTAACAAATTAACAAAAATTAATAAAATAATATTATATCGAATAATATGAAGAAATAACTATAAAAATATCACGATTATTTAAAAAACACGTTTTTTTGCCATTATTTTAAAACAAGAAGTGTGATATCGTTTTTCAAGATTCATTCTAAGATAACATGTCTCTGTTGCGACAAATCTGAAGAAATTCGGTTAAGTAGTATCTGGGAAAAGGAGACGACGGATGAACGGATTTATTTTATTATCGGATTTTACATATATTGGAACGAAAAACCTCGAATCTGGAGATCATTTTCCATTTCTTAGCAAATTAAAATGGCTAATTATTAATAATATTAATCTATAAAACATGTTCCCAATTTTACGATTTTTTTTTCTATTTAAGAAGATATAATTACCCTCGAAAAGTTTTCTTATAAAAATGATCAAAAAGTTTGCATTTATCATAACTTTTCTCCCACCTTCTTTTCAGTGAAATATGTTATGTCAATATATTTAAAGAGCTTCAAGAAGATGACCTAAGACTAGGTTTATAAAAATGGTGTTACAACCGTTTTAGGGCAACTGTCTATAGAAACACAAGTTTTTCATCCGCCATTTTGGAAGAAAACTGCGGATGATAATATTGAGTTTCTAGGATCATCCTAGGGTCACCTGTAAACATTTTATAAAATCTCCAAAAATCTGTTCACTAGTTTCTGAGAAAATCCACGGAAGGATTTATATATTTTTTAAAATGCAATTTACTAAACAACAGTTAAATTCTGTCAACTGAAAGACAATAAAGGTTTTAAGAAAAAATATCTATTGTTAGGTGTTTTAGCTCTAACATGTTATGGTCAACCATTATCACGTCTCATGTAAACAGATATCCGATTATTGCTTCGCGTATTACTTCACAGAACTCTTTAGAAAAATACTTTCAATATTTTCCATCTCCCATACAAACACCATTATTATTTCCCAAACCACATATATCATGCATCAGTTACTTTTGAACATTGGATGCATTATTCTACTGGAAATTTCATAACAAACAATCTTAACAGTATTTTCAATTGTAAGAATTTAGTCATTTTCGAAAAAGGAAATTAAAATATGTGCGTATGGTAGATCAAGCTTTTGAATTCAATGGAATAAATTAATGTAACAACTTTGCCTAAAACTTCTGTTGTAATTAAACATCTGAATAATTTGTTTAATTTAGATTTGGAAACTCAAACAATTATATCCGGACTAAAATTCAAAGCATCATCATTATAAATGTTATTCACAATTTAAGGCCCAATTATGGTTACACGTCATCGTGGTAAATAAACTTGGTTTACCATAATGCTGTACTATACAGGTACAAATAGCATCCAAAGAATTTTGGTATATGTTATGTGGTATGCCAATAAAAATATAAATGGAAGGATAATTCGACGTCTAATATTTAAATTAGGATTCAAATTTAAATAATTAGTGAGATTTTTACATACATGAACTATTTACTGGAAAAACAACTTTTGGCAATGATACAAATAATTAACATTACCTCTAACAGAAAGTAAAACAACATATTGTAGCATTCTAACTTTATTTCTGCGCACAATTGTATTAGATGTATTTACTAAGTGATGATTTATAGTATTGTCCTATCCAGTACCGCCATTAGGGAATACATTTTTTTATTTATTGAATCGTAAAACACTCTGTCCCAGGGAATAAAATCTGACATACCAAAGGATTTAATGAACAATCCAAAACAAAAATGTTACGGACGGTTGAATTAACTTCATTGAATGCAACAATGTTTCTTTCAAAAGTTGGTTCCCCATTGATCCACAATTAGGACTAATGAAATCTCTTGGAACAATATTCAAAGGACATTTAAAATTATCCGGAAAAATGTCTAAATTATTTTCGACATCATTCTGCAAAAATCTTTGTTGTTGCTTCTACGCCAAGTTGAACTATTTAAATTGATATTATATTCATTAATTTTATGTGTATTTGAATAATTGTTAATGTCATTACCTCGCGAAGGATAAGTCCTGTTCTGTTATATCTTGATTTGACCAGTTATGAACGACGCTGAGGCGTATTCATTCAATAAGTAAAACCAAATAACGTTCTGTTTACAGTAGAAAGTTTAAAACTCTAAAGTAAGTCAACAAACTCGTCAAAAGGTACTAAAAAACAACAAAAATAAAATAAAATCGGTTCACAAACAGAATTGAAAAAGTTACTCAACTGTAATATCTATGCATATTTTATAAAATTATGATAAGACAAACATATAAGTGTCTTAGAATCGTCAAACCAAAGAAAGCCAATGAAAAAAAAAAATCTTACCGCTACAAAGTTGGATGAATAACCAATCTGGGTGGAAAAATCTTGAATCCTTGATATTTTATATTTTTGTATTTAATATTTATTTTTATATGCCGCCTTACTTTTCTCCTAATATTAGGTATTTAAATTAAATTAATAAACAAAATGTATATATTTCACTGGGGCACTTTTATTAATTATTAAATTTTATTATTTTATTAATTTAGCAAATCAAATTTTAAGTTTTAAAAGTTGCTCAAATGAAAGATAATACAGTAATTGAATCCGGCCAGTCTGCAGTGGAGTCCTCTTATCAGGATATTTAAGTATATATAAATCCCTGGAAACCACTAATATATATATATATATATATATATATATATAGGTCAACCCTCCGGGAAGCTCCTGGTTAAGGACCGTCAGCCCTCGGTGATCGACGACTAGTCGACCTAGCCAGACTGGACCAGCCTGGGTAATAATTTGTTGTGCTTTTATGCTTCCCTAATTGGTTCAATAAAGAGAAGTGTGGATCAAGCTTTACAAACGGAAGCCTCACACCGCTTAGCGATAGACGAGGATGGATTAAGTGAGCAAACTAATGATTAAACCCCAGGTTAATTGTGAGGAAATAAACAATTTAATAATAAAAAAATAAACAATTTGGAACGTACCAAAAGACTATGATGTTGCCAAAGGTTTATTTTTAACAGACAAAGAAACGTAGTTGCTCATTATTTTGGGATACCTAACGAGGTATGAGAATATAGAAAATTAATTCACAATCCTCAGGTGATGATTAGCAAAGCGCCAATTGAATATGTATACACTTTTATTTACATATTCATGCAAAATAAAGTTTTCAACATTGTAACAAGATTTATTATTTATATTTATAATTAAAATACACCCAATTCTGTTATTTTTCTAATTCAAATCTTTACATGTGGCGACTTTGAGGATAATTTTTTTTTTTTATCAAAATCCATCCTCTACTATATCTTACATATGTGCAAACGCATTTTCCTTGGTACTCCTATTTCTCAAAAAGGGTTCGTTCCAGTCGGCCCTAATATACAAACAATCGAGGAATTGTGTAGAAATGTTTCATTAAATTTCATTTAGCAATTACAATTAATTAACTTGATTTTTAAGACTATAATGATTGTGAAATACAGTAGGCACTTAACATTTGGAAAGATATATTAGGATAAATGCACCAATAGTAGACCTGCTTACAGAAATTTCTTAGAATTAGA